AACGATATTATAATAACAATTAGTTCCTTTTTTCGAGATATATCGATATTTATATAGAACTTTAGCATATTTTAATACTGATTATGAAAAAAGCACGAACAACGTTTGGATGAGGAAGATAGTCACATGAGACTAAAAGAGAGAGACAAAGACAGCACGAGGGAAAAAAATGTAATAAAACAAAACCATATCGATTGAAGATAATGATCATTGTTGGACTTTGTCTTTTTTCTATTGTATGAATGTGTACTGAGGGGAAAAAAACAGATTTCTCTTACTACTCTTGAGTCATCTATTCAGTAACGATGCTAATCAATGACATTTTCTCTTATTCTCTTTGAGAAAAATGCCAATAAGTGAAAAGGAAAAATTGATGATAGTGATGATGCAGACATTTCTTTCTATACATGTATCATGATACTCTCTGAGGTTTTTGGCCACGTTCATCAATATAGTGAACACGTGGACCAGTGAGTTTTATATTTTATTTTTTGTATTTTAATAATATATTTTATTCTTTTCTAATTTTTTTTTCTTTATTTATTAGCATGGTAGCGGGTTTTCTCGATGCCATAGCCAAAGTACGCCAATTTAAATTTCATAATGATGACGATTTATACGATCGATTATCAAGAAGATTTTCTGTCGTTTTACTTATGTTATTTACTGTTGTCGTATCTACCAAACAATATGTTGGTGATCCCATTGCTTGTTTTGCTCCTGCACAATTTACCGGTAAGTATTCTTTCTTCTTGTTTTTTTACTAAAGGAAAATTTAAGTTTTAATCTATGAAATCAATATGATTATGTAAGTACATAGGGTTTTTTTTCGTGTCTACGATTACATCATAATGAAAAAAGTAAAAGAAAAAGCTTTTAAATTAATATGTAGAATTCTTAAGTAAGAAGAATAAATGTTTTATGATTTCTTTTCTTTTCCTTAAAAGATTAAAGAAGGAAACTTACCCTTTAGTATCTGTACTAAACGTATTTTTGATTAGAATACATGATTTTTCGATTATACAAAAAAATATTTTTATTTTATTCAAGTTTTAAAGTCAAACTTCAAATTGAACGTTCGATGACGTGTTGTGCCGTAGGCATCTGGATATGATTTACTACTTGGCGATTTATGACATTTCTATCTTATATAGAATTTCCTTGAGTTTGATGATGCATTCAAGGTATCTTAATTTATGATGAAAAGGTTATTGTATAAAAATAGCAAATTCAGTCAGTCGAAAGATAAAAATGTATTGTTGTGATAAAAGACAATGATACAAAAGTCTTCCTTTAAATTGATTATTGCTTTCGCTTTTTTCTAGTTATTAATGATAAAAGAGAATAACTGTATTTCTACTTAGTTATAAAACTTTTGTAATAATGCATTGTCAATGAATAAAATAATAATTTAAGAGTAGATATTAATATTACTATTTGATGATTTACAGAAATTAAGAAAAATTATTTTGTTATATATTCATCAAAATTTAAATTTAAATATATGATTAATCTTTTGAATAAGGACTTCATCAAAAATTCATAAGTCTTAAATAAAAGAAACACCATAGAGTTCTTTGAAAACTATAGTAGTTCATAAAAATGAATGAAATTGATATAACTAGAGCTGCTCTGATAAACTAAAATGATTAAGTGGTTATCAACGCGATTCGACAATTTTGCTAAAGTTCATTCAATTCTATCAGATTATAGGCTTATAAATCTAAGCATGTCGTGATTTTCTATGAGTATTCATATATTTTCATGCTACACAATAATTATCTCGGCAAGGAGAATTAGGAAAATACTATTAAATATTATTCGTGCATGAAGTGTGCGTGACAAAAGTTCAACATTATATATACGGTGATTGTTAAAGTTATTTGACCAAATGTAAATTCGATTTTTTACTCTTATCATAGGTGATATAAAAAATCTAAGTAGCCATTTAAATAGAAAAAACTGTTGTAAACAAAGTTATGAGAAAATTCGACCTGAGGCTGGCAATAAAAATTAGTTCTGACAACAGAGAACGGTAGAGTGGAATAATCTCAACAAAATGAGCCGTCTTCGAGCTCCTTAAAATGTGTGTAGGTTGAGCTACACCAAATATACGGAAGTCCCAAATGACGTTTTTTTTGACATTTTCAATCAGAACAATATAAAGAACACCAAATTGGGCCGTCCATAAGTTCAATGTAGCTCAGTCAAAAAAAAAAAGGTCGTGAAAAGTTCTGCGACATCTAATTTTGTTGAAAATCGAAGGTTTTAATTTTCGAGAAACCTTGACTTTGAGGAATGTACTCGAGAATTTAATTTCTTCCTAAATTCGTTAGATACAGTTTTCTCTATTCAAATCATATTTAGATTGTTTATGTCATACTTACGACACGAGCAAAACATCGAATTAATATCCGGTTGGATAATTTTCTATCCAAAGATTTTATTAGTAGACGTAACGTTTATAGAGCACAAAAGCTAATTCAAATCATATATTTATATTTGTATCCAATTAATTTTTTATTCTTTTAGGTTCTCATGTTGAATATGCCAATTATATTTGTTGGATTTCCAATACTTACTATGTTCCTTTTGAGAGCACATTGCCAGCAAGGCATGATGAACGTCCAAAACATATTGGTTTGCATTTTTCTTTCTTTCTCTTCTAATTATAACTAATTCTTTTCTTTTCTTCCGTTTTTTTTTCTTACAGCTTATTATCAATGGATCCCATTTATTCTACTACTTATGTCAGTACTCTTCTACATTCCCTCCGTTCTATGGCATGCACTTGCCACAAAGACAGGTTTTGATATAGCTAATCTTGTAAAAACATTACATAGTATGGAACAATTAAATCCTGATATCAGAGATCGCACACTCAGATATATAGCTAAACATATTGATCGTGCTCTTGAAATTCAACGGGAAATGGGCACAGGATTTTTTTCCCAATTTAAACGTCTTTTGCGTCGTCATTGTCCAGTTTTTATTATTGGTCGTGCTCAAGGCAATTATTTAACATTTGTATATTTATTTGTCAAATTATTGTATATTACAAATGTTATTGGACAATTATTTTTACTTAATGTAAATTTAAAGTTTTTAATAATTAATTTAATTTAATTTAATTAATTTCTATTTTATTATATATAGATCTTTATGGGTTCAAATTATCATGGTTATGGTATTGAAGTATTAAAAAATTTGTTATCTGGTCGTGAATGTTGTCGTTCATCACGATTTCCTCGAGTAACAATGTGCGATTTCGAAATTCGTACTATGGCTGATCATATACATAAACATACGATACAGGTAAACAAAAAACACAAAAAAAGAACTCATTAATTTATAAATAAACTAATTTCAAACTTTTGTTTTTGTTTTCTTTTTTTATGTAGTGCGTGCTTCCTGTGAATTTATTTAATGAAAAAATCTTCATATTCATATGGTTTTGGCTTGTCATTGTTTCTATTTTATCTTCATATGGTTTTATAATGTGTATATGGCAACAAATTTTACCATTTAATCGTGAACATTTTCTTAAAAAATATCTTAAAATAATGAATCGTATAACACGTGAAACATTTGATAGAAAATTATTTAATACATTTTCAAACAAATATTTAAGACATGATGGTGTACTTGTTTTACGTCTTGTTGCAATGAATACAAATGATGTTGTTATGGGAGAAATAATGGTTGCATTATGGGATGGTTTTAAACGAGCACAAGATACTGATGGTGGGATATTTGTGTAGTTTTAAAAGAAAAAGTAGTTAAATTTGAATCCTGCCCAGGTTTAAATCTTCTCAGGAAGTTTTGTCATCTATTCCTAGTCGAAAATTTCTTTGTTTTCTTATTTTTAATCCCTCTATGCAATAGAATCTAGTCATGTAAAAAAAAATAAATAAATAAATAAAACTAAGATCTCATATGTTTGTATGTTTTACTACTGTGATATGTTTGTTTATTTTTAATTAAAGAACTAGTCGAAATAGTCATAGAAAATATATGACTAATAACAGTGAGCGTATTTGTATTCATGCGCAAAATTTAATATTATGAAATTTAGTATTAGTTATATACAATAAAAAAAAAGAGAGATTTTCGTTTTCTTTTTCTGTTTTGTTTTGCTGTCGATTTCTTTTCTTTTTCTCTTCTTCGAACTGATGATGTCAATGCGTTTCTTCTTCTTTTCTTTTATGTGTGTGTAAGCATGAGTGTTTATTTTATTTTTTTTTCTTACTTTTTGTTTCAATGTTGATGAAGAACAAAAAGAAAAAAAATATGATGTATTTAAAAAAAAGAAAAAAAGAAAAATTTTGAAGCAAACAATCGTTTCGATACATGAATATAACATAATGAACAGTTGAAGAAGAGTTCCCTTAAGATGATTTATAAAGAAAGAAGTATTCAATTGTTTTATATTGAATAAACATTTGGTGATTTGTAACTTTTCTTATCAAACATTGTTTATTCGTAATACTGAGAGTAGTCAAACTTTCACATGAGATTTGTTTAGTTTTGTGTCGTATGGGACGAAATACAATTAAGAAAGTGTGAAAATTTATGGATGAAACATGTTAAATCTCAGTCAGATTGTTTCTTTTTACGGGGAAATTTGAAGCGACCTTTATTATGTCTGTTAAAATAGAATGAAACATTTTATGAATTCGAATTATTTGAATTAATAGAATTTAAGAACTTCAATTTTCGATATCGTGTAAAAGAATTTTTTCAAACTTGAGATTATAATTAAAAACATCTTGATGTCAATAAGGCGATATAGTTTGACAGAGAGAATTGTGTCTAAGCAATTTTATTGTTTTCTATGATAGAAATTTCGTTAAAAACTTTACTATTACATTTCTATAAACCCTTTGACATTTGAGCAAAGAACAACATGAAATATTTTCACTTTTATCTTATCATATCATTTTTCGAATTAAAACGTTAAACAACAGTCAATCGTAACACAAACATACGGATTTGTAAACATGCGGGCACTATTCTTTTTTCTATATATTTTTCTTTCAATAAAATTTATTCACAGTTCTCAATGTCAATCTCATTTTGGTTTAGTTGGTCGTTGTGGATGTTGTTCCTTTATTGGTGGTAATTGTATTCATTTTGAAAGTATTGATGGTGTCGATATATCATGGCATGTATGTGTACCAAATCATATTAAAAAAACATTTTCACTTGAACAATGTAAACCCAAACTAATTAATGATAAAAATTATACTCGTATTTGTCGTACAACAAATGGAACATTTCGTTTATTTCCGCAATGTACAATAAAACAAGTTTGTTTTTTACCAACACCCTCAAGAATTTGTATGACAGATTTTAAGAAAAACATAATTTTATAATTTTGTGTGTTTTAGTTTCAGTTACTCCTCAATGTCATACACAAATGGCTGTAAAAGGATCATGTGAACAATCTTTAAAACGTTTTTCTTATGATTCAAAACGACGAGAATGTGTTCCATTTATATATTCAGGTTGTGGTGGAACAACAAATCGATTTATTCGAAAAGAACGATGTGAAAAATTATGCATAAAATCAACCTGAAAAAGAAAACTTTCAAATCTATGTCGCATTTTAATGAGAAAACAACCACCATATGTAATTTCTTTTATTTCTATTTTAATTTATAAGGCTAAAAAAATTACTTGAACAAAAATAAAACACTAAATAGGAAATAGATAAGTATCTAGAAGTTCGATAAAAAAAAAAGTATGTAAAAAAGAACTCTTAACACATCCGGATATTATTAATGCATTAGCACATATGTCTATTAATAACAACATATATTATAATTAAAAAGAGACCTTGAAACAAGGAGAACAATATAAAAATTTCAAAAAAATCTCATTTCCTGTCATCTCCATTTTTTATTTGATATAATAAAGAATTGCAAAAGAAATAAATTTTATATATGTGAAAAATAATTATTAGATTTTGTCGCATGATATTGGTGAATAATTTTTGGTTATAAATGAATTGATAACTGAATGATCGAATTGATTTAACTACTGAATTAGTTATTCAGTTCGACGTTTTCTATGATACATAATTGAAAATGTAGTTTTTGATACATTACGATGAGTGCTGTTTTATTCAAATCATTATATTTCAAATGGAAACAATCTTCGAAAGATTTATCTTATTGTAAACCATATATAATTAAGTTTATGAGTTGGAGAAAAAGTATATTAAGATTTGTAAGAACAAAAAATGTTAGTAAATATTATGGAGAAAGATTAACTTTTTGTAAAACAAATAAAGTGTCAACCACATATTGTCACGTACTATTTTTCTTATGAATTGATTCGCATTTATTCTTTTCCATTAGAGACAATGAGTACACGAAAATAAATGTCCTGCGAAGTATGTTCTCAATATCGTCATGCCTTAATGTTTTTTCTAAAAAAATAATCACGATTCAATTTTGTATAAGAACGTATTAGAAGATTTTCTTACAAAACATTAAGAAAAATGCTACTGCTAGACTGCAATTTAGCTGATTTTCACAAATTAAAAACAGTCCTTTATTCGTTAGAGCTTTAGTAGTAACGATAATATCGGTAGCAAATATGTAATCAGGATAGTCAAATTTTTGAATCAATTCCTGCCATATAAATGAATTATTTCTTGCTTCAAACTTTATAAAAGTAACTGTTTTCAATTAGTGATTTTGAGACTCTCAGAAGAATTTGCATTAATCGACAAAAAAAGAAAAACATTAGTCAATATCACTAAGCTTGATTTCAACTTCAAGAGAAATCAATGCTACATCAGGCGGAAATGTCACAATTTGATTAGGAGTCTTTATCCAAGTACATTGCGAAAAATAAGCAATGCTTTATGTGTTTTGGGCTCACGAGAGAATCTCCTCGGATGTCCTTTTCCGATTTCAAAAATGTTTCCCTTTAGATACTATAGGAAAATTCAATAAAATTCTTAAAAGGATTTTAGTTCCTATTGAGATTTGACTAAGTTATCGAATGTTTTTCTCTCGAGGCTTCAAGTTTCCGGAGAAATCGTTTTTTCGAATTTTGATCTGAAACTTTGTACATATATAGATCTCAACTAGACTGGTTTGCATAGAAAAAATCAGAAGTTTTGAACAAAGCCTTCTTGATATATGAAGCTTCCAAAACAAATGTATGCTGTATACACTATTCATAGAAAAGGATCTATATCTTTAAAGTGTCATATTTCAAAGAGACTTTGTTCAAAACTTCTGACCTTGTCTATGGAAGTTAATTTATTTAAGTTCTCTCTTTCTACACAGAGTTTCAGATAAAAATTCGAAAGTGGAAGTTTTTGCGAAAACCTAGAAGCCTCTAGAAAATAGACATTCTAAAAATTCAATAGCTTAGACAAATCTCAACGGGAATTCAATACTTTCTAGAGTGTTTATAACAACACTGTATAGTATCTATAGGAAATTAAAAAAATCATTGAAATCAGAAGAGAACATCTGAGTCAGTGCCCTTCTTAGTTTTCATACAGATATGTTTGCATCAAAAACAAAACAACAAAGCGCTCCAACTAACTTCAGTGTACGTCACGAGACAGAACTGAATTATATTCCTAAACGTACTCAGTCATGTTATTATATTTATAGAAAGCTAGAAAAAAAAATATTGAACTATTCTAACAAAAAAAAAACTTTTGAAAATCGAGCATGTAAGAACCTCAGAGTATTATTTACCTAATATTTCTGCTTAACATTTTGTGATCCGTTCTTGTAGAAAATAAAATCGTGAATCTTTCAGAAAAACATTAAGGCATGGCAATATGAAGAAAATACTCAGAAGGATATTTATTCTGGCGCATTCGTTAGTGTCGAAAACCAATTTGTTTTTGTGATACCAATCTCAAAATGAAATTGGATCATATCAACAATGTTTGTGAATAATATTGCGACCTCTATCATTTTCAGATGGCGAAAGAATATCGTCTATTATGAGATGAGTCATACAAATGCTTATTTGTTTGTCGAACCATTTTTGATTTTTGTATTTATCATATTTTCCAATCTTGAAATCATCTGAAACAAATATGGTCTCAGCAACAATAACACCAGCCGTTTCAACGGTTAATCCACGAGAAAAAGCATTAGAAGATTTTCGTAAGAAAATTATGGAACATAAAGAAATTGAAGCTCGTCTTAAACAAAGTATATTATTATTAAAATAATCAATCTATCTAAAACCAAAATCTCATTTTAGTGCGTGAAGATTTACGTACATTCACAAAAGAATATGATAAAAGTGAAAATGATTTAAAAGCATTACAAAGTGTTGGACAAGTAAATCGATAGAAATATTTCATTTATTCATTTTTAATTGTTCAATTTAGATTGTTGGAGAAGTATTAAAACAATTAACTGAAGATAAATGTAAGTTTATTTTTCAAAAACAAAAAACTTTAATACAAAAAAGACAAAATAATTTATTCGATTTTTTTAAAAGTTATTGTCAAAGCAACTAATGGTCCTCGGTATGTTGTTGGTTGTCGTCGTCAATTAAATAAAGCTAAATTACGTCCTGGTACACGTGTTGCTCTAGATATGACAACATTAACTGTTATGCGGTAAAAATACTGATACTATATTTTCACTTTACAATAGTTTATATATTAAACTTTTCTTTTGCGTTTTTTTAGTTATTTACCTCGAGAAGTTGATCCATTAGTTTATAATATGTCACATGAAGATCCAGGAAATGTTGCATATAGTGAAGTTGGTGGTTTAAGTGAGCAAATTCGAGAATTACGAGAGGTTAAAAGCAGAACTTTTAACGAAATTAAACATATTTCAAATTATATCATATATACAGGTCGTAGAATTACCTCTAACAAATCCTGAATTGTTTCAACGTGTCGGTATAACACCACCAAAAGGTTGTCTTCTATTTGGACCACCAGGTAAGTTAAATGCAGTAATGAATAACAAGTCTCCACTCCAGCCGATCTCAATCATTTTATGTACTGAAGATTTGAAAATTTGTTTACAAGTACTTCGTCAAGAATATTGGTTATTGCCATACGATGTCATTATTACTTAATTACATAGGAAATTATTATAGAAATACGACTAATTCTTGATATTTTTTTTTACACATAGCTGAAATCTCATGTACGATCTTTCTTTACCTAGATTCGATTCTGATACTTGTAGGTAATAATGTCTAACTGTAGGAGAAACTTCTCATAAATTGGAACTATAATTGAATTATTGACCTTCTACTTGTCATAGATAGTTTCTCTTTACAACAATAAAATGAGCATAGTCTTTGAAACGATGGATGAGCTTCAATGAGATTAGTAATGTAGATAGCTGAGATATCGTATTACATATTAAAAAGATCAGCTAACACAGAGTACTTTTCCTTTCTCGGATTATACGGTTGAAAACAAAAATAGATTTTATCCATCATAATTCCCTTTGTAATTAAGTAATAACGGCAGTGAATCGTCAATAACCTACATTCTCGATGAAATGCGTGCAGACAATTTTTCCCACTTCCAGCACATATAGTGGTCGAGATCGGCTGCAACGAAGACTTTTGCCTAGTAGTGTATTTCGACATGTTTCATTTAATTATCTATATAGGCACGGGGAAAACTTTATTAGCGCGAGCAGTTGCTAGTCAACTGGATTGTAATTTTTTAAAAGTTGTATCAAGTGCTATTGTTGATAAATATATTGGTGAAAGTGCTCGAATGATTCGAGAAATGTTTGCATATGCAAAAGATCATCAACCATGTATTATTTTTATGGATGAAATTGATGCTATTGGTAAAAACAAAAATAAAAGAAAGATTTTTCATTTTAAATATGAATTAATTATAAATATATAGGTGGACGTCGATTTTCCGAAGGTACATCTGCTGATCGAGAAATTCAACGTACATTAATGGAAGTTAGTTTTCAGTTTTGTTTGCTTTTTAATAAAAGAATATGAAAAAAACAAACACAGAGTTTTTCTTGTTGTTTTTAGCTTCTTAATCAAATGGATGGATTTGATACATTAGGTAAAGTTAAAATAATTATGGCAACAAATCGTCCCGATACACTTGATCCAGCACTTATGCGACCAGGTCGACTTGATAGAAAAATTGGTATAAAATATAAAATTGATTTTTATTAATAAAATATTCGATTTTATTGTTAATAGAAATTCCATTACCAAATGAACAAGCTCGTCTTGATATTCTTAAAATTCATGCAGCACCAATTGCGAAACGAGGAGATATTGGTAAAAGCGTTTCTTTATCTTATTCTCCTTGCTTTGAATAAAATTATTTGTATAATTTTTTTGTTTTATTTAGATTATGAAGCTATTGTTAAATTAAGTGATGGTTTTAATGGTGCGGATATGCGAAATGTCTGTACGGAAGCTGGTATGTTTGCAATTCGTGCTGAACGTGATTATGTTCAAGAAGAAGACTTTTCAAAAGCTGTACGCAAAGTAGCTGAAAGCAAAAAACTTGAATCTAAACTTGATTATAAAGCACAAGGCACATTATAGGATTTTTCTTAGTTTTAATCGACTTTT